CCCCAAAACCCCAAAACCCCAAAACCCCAAAACCCCAAAACCCCAAAACCCCAAAACCCCTTTCGTTCAGGCCAGAATATAATAATAAAAATGAAGAGAGCTTTGCTGTTTTTCTGAATGCTTGCTCTAAGCTGTGTCCTTTGTCAGGGAGAGAATTGGGTCACTGTCGACCAAGAAAGATTTTACCTAAATGGATCGGAGTACCATTATATTGGAACCAATTACTGGTACGGAGTCAATATGGGAGCTCCCCTCTCTGGAGACCGTGATAGGGTCAGGAAGGAACTTGACCAGCTGATTAGTCTAGGAGTGACTAATCTCAGAATCATGGCTGGAGGTCAAGGGCCTGACGATAGAGAGAAAAGGATTGGTAAGAAGTCTTAATTATAATTTATAGTTCCCTCGATTGAGCCTGAACCGATGGAGTTTAATGAAGATGTCTGGCTTGGATTCGACTTCCTTCTCAATGAAATGAGAAATAGAGGAATGAAAGCTATCGTTCCAATCAATAATTACTGGGAATGGTCTGGTGGATTCGGACAATATGTAGAATGGCATGGTGGAGACTTTGAAGACCCTCTTAGTTTTTATGAAATGATTGATGTACAGGAGCACTTTAGGGCTTTTACTGAATATTTGCTGAACAGAGAGAATACATTGAATGGGGTTTTGTATAAGGAAGATTCTACTATAATGGCTTGGCAATTATCCAACGAGCCTAGGATTGAGAATTGCACTTTGTATCAAGAATGGATCAGCTCAACTGTTGACTTTATCAAGGATATTGCTCCTCACCATCTTGTATCTTTAGGAAATGAGGGAACTATCACAAATTGAGCTAGAGAAGGAAATGAGGTTGAATCTTTGGATTATGTCACTTTCCATTGTTGGGCTCAGAACTGGGGATGGTTCGATCCAAAGGATCCTTCAAGCCTCGATAGTGCCCTTGTTCATGTGAGAGAGTACCTTGACAAAAATGTTGAGATTGCGAATGATCTTCATAAACCAGCTGTTCTTGAAGAGTTTGGAATATCAAGAGATGACGCATCTTATAGTCCAGATGCTTTGACAACTCTTAGAGATAAATATTACAGATTTGTTTTTGAATATGTTGTCGATCATGTGAAAAATAGATCCTCAAATATTGTTGCCACTAACTTCTGGGCATATGGAGGAATGGGAAGACCAGTTTCTGAAGGAGGATTGTGGAGGCCAGGAGATGATTTCATTGGAGATCCTCCTCATGAGCCACAAGGATGGTACTCTGTCTACGATAAAGACTCAACCTTGTCTATTGTGAAGAGTTATAACAATCTTCTAAGACATATCACCCATGGTATCTCCAATAAAATGATCAGCAGATCTGAATAGATAATTGATCCTAAGACTAGTACTACAATTTGACCCAAAAATTCTGTCGATGAGGTGGCAAGTTTAATGTTACAAAAATTATTCTTTTTTTCTTGGTCGCTTAAAGAAACTTCCAATGGCCTTTTGGTCGTTTGGGAGCTTACGTTTTCTACCTCCCTTAGCCGGTCACTCATTGGTAGTATCTAATAACATCTTTCTGACATTTCTGGACTTCTCTTCATCTTTGATATCTCTTTTCTTCTTGTTAACCTCGATAGTTTTTCCAAAGGCCTGTTTTATATCAGACTGGTCGGACAACAAGTTCTTTTTACGCTTTTTCTCTGCAAGTTTTTCCTTCTCAAGTTTGATCTCGTATTCAGTCTTGAGGCCATTGAGTTTTAGAGTTATAGCTTTGGTCAGCTCAATCTAAATGAATTAGTAAGGGGTTTTGGGGTTTTGGGGTTTTGGGG